AGAGCTACGGTAGACATCTAGTAAATTATTTCATCAGTGGAAATTGTACCCGTCCATGGATCTTTATTGGGTGATAAAGGGTAAAGGTTGAATTGGGTTAGACTCTAGTTTTGGAGCTTTCTGATAAAAAACAGAGTTGGTGTCCTGCCTTTTATTGGAAGGATCTTGAAGCGTACTGGCATCATGATTCCAAATTGGTTTTGAACACATATTCGACCTATTGGTACTTCATACACTTTGGATGAAACTCTAAAAGCAAATGCACTTCATGTTTTAAGGCTGTTTGTGCTGATTCTCAGAACTCAAATATTATTGATTTCTAATTTTTTTTTTTTATGTTTCAAGACTATTTGTGCATGACACAGAAATTTCATTAATTCTAGTCCACTTTGTCCATCAATTTTTTTATGTATCAGGACATATTTCTTTCCTTTAAGTGCTTCCTCAAGGTCAGGATAATTACCAACCAACGAAAATAAATCAGAGTCCACAATCAACAAATATATCTTCTAAAAGCTACAAAAAATTAAAAGAAAGGGGGAAGGCACTAACGACATTAGATAGTTGCTTAAATTGCAAGCGATCAAATCATGCTTCTCATTTGAATGACTCGAGCATCCTTTGAAGCATCTATCTTGGCCAAATAAAGGGTTGTTTGGTTGTTTTAAGTAGGCAAAAGAAGAAGAGCTTGTAATCAGTTATGGCAACTAAAAATAGTTTGCTGTCAATTTTGGAATCCAGGTTTTTCATGGACAGAGAAAGGGACCCATCAGAATTTTGCCCTTCTGACCTTGCAAGACATAAAGTGACCTTACAAGACATATAGATATATGATACCCTTGTCATCACAGAAAGAAGATAAATTTTTCCATTGAAAACAGTAGTTAAAGGACCAAAAACCTCAGACTTCTCCTCAAGAAGTTCAAATTCATAAACACATCTGGAATAACCTCTACTCATATTATATCTATATAATTTTGGGGTAACAAAAACTTAATTCATTTTTACCATCGCCCAACAAAAAGGAGAGTCATGCTCTGAAACAAGATTTAGAGGCAATCTATACTGGCAGCGAACCCAATTAGGGGTATAGAGATTTAGAGGGGAAAATGTTTTGGGTTTGGGTGCATTGTGTATCATCTACACAGAATGGTTCAAGCATCACATGGCTGGTGAATTTCAATAAGTGGGAGCCGTGTGGTGAGATTTCTTTGTATGTTCTTCTATACCTGCTCAATCTTTGCATCTTTTCAATTTAAACTAAATGTCATATCTGTTCTAATTTATTTACTTTTCTTGCATTCATCTTTGTTGATATGGCAATAAATGTCTCTCAACTTGAAAGACCAGTAATAGGAATTTGCATGTGAACATAATTGCCCTTGAGCCCTTGAGCCCTTGATTTCCTTTTTAGTATATTTATATAGAGACCAATCCATGGGTGGTTCTTAATCTGATAAATGCTGCTTTAGAACAAAAGATTGTTTTAAACCTTGTCAAAGACTTGGATGTCATAGCATTTCAAGAATACCAAGACTACAGTCCCGAGGGTTAACTTGTCATCTAAATGGTTCATTTTACATATTTTCCCTTACCAAAAATAAAATAAAATAAAATAAAATAAAATTTAGATATTAGCCATCACTCATAATATGTGTACACCAGAGACTAATTACAATGTAGCTCATACTTAGGGCTGTTAACAGTTTGCTTTTCTACTGATATTCTTGTGCTCATTTTTGTAGGTAATGTGCGGTGCTCTTGTGCAACCCCTGAAAAGATCAGTGCTAAGCGAAGAAAGCTAGAACATTATAACGTGCAAACCAACTATTCAAAATGATTGGCGACTGCAAGGATCACATGGGTTCATCAGGATGCATGTACAACAGACGTGGCTGCAAGGATTGAAGATGAAAGAGCATTCAGCCTGGTTGCCCTAGATTAATATGAGATACTATCACTAACCTTTCTGGCTTTAGAGTATGCAGTATTCAACTTAAGTAAATGTACTAATAATGTTAATATTTCATTTCTTACATATAAAACTATACACAGTCATAGGATACCAGAGATAATTCCCGTCATAACTTTTGAATAATATTTCTTTAGGATTTGAACTAAGTTCTCAAACTTATGGTGGATATGAATAAATCATTTACTTTTCTTTTTTCGAGAACAATAACCATCTGTTTTACTCAGTTAAATTCAAAAATATGTATGTGAATCAAATCCTAGGTCTTTGTTTGGGTTAACAGTACACACACAAGTCCAATTATAATCTATTACCAAAAAGTCCACCCACTTCAGCTAATAACTTGAATTTGAATAGGGATCACAAAGATAAAAGTGAGCCTTTTTAGTATTTGGGGATTCTTGGATCAAAAACCAATCTACGTACATAACACATGGTTTTAAAAGGGCTCACCAAATATCACATTTAACCAGTATTCTTCTGTGTGTGTGTGTAATTAAATGGAAAATAATCAAACTCAAGAATAAATCAAGCAGCAAGAATAAAAATTATCATATCCACAAAATCAAGGCACTAGATTTTTAATGTGAAAATTCCTTAAGGGGAAAAAAACAAGATTAAGAGGAATTGGAGACAATCACTATTGATTATCGAACAGAACCATAACTCCTCTAGTAACCTTTCTGCTGCTGTTGCAACTCACTCTCATAGCCTCTCTACTGTTTTTTACAATGTTGATCAAAACCAACTACTGGCCGTTATCTACTGACATGATACATTCAAGGTCCAAGCTCCATGCAATTCATGTAAGCGTTCATGAAGAGTTTCCTCAACACTAGATGGATGGATACATACAACAAAAGAATCCTGAAGAAATAAGAAACAAAAATGGTTGGTTAACATAGTTGAGTATGGCATAAATTAGCATTTAAAATTTTAAAATTTGCTCAAGTTAAAGAATTAGAATGTGA